GCCAGGCGTTGTGGCAGGTGCCTGTGGTCCCAGCTCCTTGGGAGGCTGAGGCAAGAGAATCACCTAAGCCCAGAACTTGGAGGTTGCTGTGAGCTGTGTGACTCCACAGCCTTCCACCGAGGGCGATAAAGTGAGACTCTGTCTCTACAAAAAAAAAGAAAAAAATTAGAAAGAAAGAGGCGATTTAGGGCAGTGCCTGTAGTTCAGTAGGTAGGGCACTGGCCACGTACACTGAGGCTGGCAGGTTCGAACCTGGCCCATGCCAGCTAAACAACAATGACAACTGCAGAAAAAAAATAGCTGGGTGGCTCAGCATCCGTAGCACAGTGGTTATGGTGCCAGTCACATACACCTAAGGTGGTGGGTTCAAACCTGGACTGGCCCAGCTAAACAACTGCAAAAAAAAAGAAAAAAATACTAGGCGTACTGTGGTGGGTGCCTATAGTCCCAGCTACTTGGGATCCTGAGGCAAGAGAATCACTTAGGCCCAAGAGTTTGAGGTTGCTGTGAGCTGTGACACCACAGTACTCTACTGAGGGCACCGTAATAAGACTGTCTCAAAAAAAAAAAAGAAAGACGGAATTTAGAGGGCTAATTTGGAATTTGGTTTCAAAAGCAAGGCACCTGTAATCCTAGCATTCCAGGAGGCGGAGGCAGATGTATTGCCTGAACTTAGGAGATCAAGACCAGCCTGAGCAAGAGCAAGACCTCATTTCATTGAAAAATAAATAATAACCCAGTGTTGTGGTAGATGCCTGTACTCCCAGATACTTGGGGAGGTTGAGGCAAGAGAATCACTTGATCCCAAGGGTTTGAGGTTGCTGTGAGCTATGATCCCACAGTACTCTACCAAGGATAACAAAATGAGACTGTCTAAAAAAATTTAAAAAATAAAAAAAGCATGCTGATATAAAATCTAATACTTAGCCAGGCATGGTGGCTCACACCTGTAATCTTAACACTCTGGTAGCTGAGGCCAGTGGATGGGCTTGAGCTCTGTAGTTCAAGACCAGCCTGAGCAAAAGTGAAATCTTAGATCTAAAAAAAAAAAAAAAAAAAATAGCCAGGCGTTGTGATGGGTGTCTGTTTTCTCAGTGGTCAGGAGGCTGAACCAAGAGGATGACATGAGCCCAACAGTTTGAGGTTGCTGTGAGCTATGATCCCACGGCACTCTACCAAGGGTGACAAAGTGAGACTCTGTCTCAAAAAAATAAAATAAATAAAATCTAATATTTGAGGATATGAAGAGAACAGTAGCTCAATTGTGCTAATGTCAAGCATTTATTATGAGATGGGTGCCAGCAGCCTCATCACTCCCATAAGATGGATACCGCCCGCCACCGACTTGCACCAGGGGGCTGTGTAGGATAGAAGATGAAAGGACACAAGATGAGAATACCATAACTATGAAATGATGACAGGCACCATTACCCTTAGGTCGGTCTGGATTGGGCCGGAACAGAACAAGATAAGAACTAAGGGGCCAAGTACTGTCATGATGAGAGTTAACAAGCTAAGTGCTGTGGCAAATTGTTTTACTTATTTGCTAATTGCCAGATCTGCTTTATGTTGCCTTTATGTTACCTGTCTGCTAATCATTACGCTAAATTGCAGGGTTCTTCTGTAAAAGGGGTCATCTTGACCCTGCACTTGCTTTTTGCTTCTTTAGCCAACTTTTAGCCCACCTGTTTGTCCCGTTGCCAACTTTCAGGCTATAACAACCCCAACTTCAGACCCTTCAATGCTCTCTCACTTAGTCTGCCTTAGGCTTTGCTGAGGCAGCCCCGAGGTTAATAAAAGACTCCCTTTTGAACTTTTTTTTTCCTTTTGAACTTCTAATTTGAGTCAGTGGTCCTTATCTCACCCCATAACAATTATACTTTAATAAGATATTGCCTCTTCACCATTACAGAGAAAAAAGGCTCTTGAAGAGCTAATACAGATGACCCTGATCAGAAGTAATTATGCATTTATCACCTCTGTCAAACCTACTTAGCCCAACAAAAATTCTGTAATCCAATTAAAGTTTGTTTTTTCGGGTATCTCTTAGGTGAATAGAGATATCATTTGTATTGTGAAACAAATTCTAAATTAAGGCTGAATAGAGAATCAATCCAGTTCTCTTAAAAATACAGAAGCTAGGGGCGGTGCCTGTGGCTTAAGGAGTAGGGTGCTGGCCCCATGTGGAAGTGGCGGGTTCAAACCCAGCCCTGGCCAAAAACCACAAAAAAAAAAAAAACTTTTCCTTCCATTTGAGCAGTTTGTCATGAATTGAAACCAGGTTTTCCTGTGGAAAGTTTTAGATTAACTGGAGAATGGAAGCTTAATTGAGTTCTTTCTTGCAACTCTTAGCATTTATTTTATTTATTTTAAAATAAAATGTTTATATTATATCTCAATAAGATGAGGATGTCTTCAGTTTGAATCTACATAATGTTCACTGCCAAACACTTTCTTAATGCATACAGCCTTCACATTTTTGTATAATAAAGATCCATAATTTGCTCTCTGATCTGTGCAGTTTTATAACTTGGTTTTCACTGGAAATAAGACCTTCCCACACAACACTAGTAATGACTTCCTTATGTTTTTATCCTATGCAGAATATGAGAGATTCAAAAAGAATATAACTGTGACACATATAGGCTGGGAAGCAGGCACATCAGGGCTGACCTGAATACTGGCTAATGTGAAGTCTGAGTAATATCTCCATCTCAATCAAAATAAGTTAACCAATAATACCAGTATTACCATGAGGAGAATGAGTATGATCTGTCCTGCTAGTACCCTTATCTACTTGCAAATGACCCCTGAATTTATCAAGAACTAAAAGTCTTAAATTCTAAATAAAGGTAACATACTGTAACAAACTATAACAGTTAATAGGCAAAAATATAATTGTGCTTATAAATAGCTTATTCTTCTTCCTTTCTTTAGAATGTCTGCAAAAGAGATAATAAGAAACTTATTTAGGCCAGTTACGGCAGCTCATGCCTGTAATCCTAGCACTCTGGGAGGCCCAGGCAGGTGGATTGCCTGAGCTCACAGGTTGGAGACCAGCCTGAGCCAGAGCAAGACCTCATCTCTAAAAATAGCCAGGCATTGTAGTGGGTGCCTATAGTCCCAGCTACTTGGGAGGCTGAGGCAAGAGAGTCACTTGCGCCCAAGAGTTTGAGGTTTCTATGAGCTATGATGCCATGGCACTCTACCGAGGATGACAAAGTGAGACTCTCAAAAAAGAAAGAAAGAAAGAAACATTTACTA